TTTTAATTGCGAGCCGCCCAGAGTCGCCTCTGGGCGAGACGGGTGGCATATAAATTTAATAAATAAATAAAAATAAAGTCCAGAGAGGCTCCATTAGTGGGCTGAGATGAGAAAGATGGAACTGATGTCTGAGGGGAGGGGAGGGGAGGCAACCACAGCAGGGAAGGAGGCTCCAAGGCTGCCTAAGGCTGGTGGTCCTGGGAAGGGCAAGGTGCACAGGCCCATTTTCTCCCTGTCACACAAACATACTCACGGCCCCTTGCTGCGTTAAAGTCTCTTCCTCACGTTCCAACCAACAGCTGGACTGTGGAGGAAGGCAGGTGGGCAGGCAGGGGGGCTCCAGTGGCCACCCAGAAGTGGGGCCAGAGATATAGATGCCTCCCCCTCCCCCCCCCAGTGTCGGCAGCACCTGGAAGAGTTCCAGCGACAGGAGTCACAGTCGATGCATTCGTGTGATTGGGCTGTTTGGTCCGCTTCCTGGCAAGCGGGCTCCTCAGTGCCTCCTGTGCGTGCAAAAGCACCACGTGCGTCTGTGTGCCCGGGGATGGCCCTACCCCATTCTCCGAACGGCTTGGGTGCCAGACTTGGGGCGTACCTCTTTGGTCCTGTCCCCCTTCCGGGGCTGGTGGCTGGGGTGGTTCACTGTCCACGGCCCCAAAGACTGACCGGCGTAGAAGTCCATGGGGTAGATCTCCTGCCACTTGACCTGCTGCAGAGCCACAGCGGCCTGGGGGTGGGAGAGGACTCATTGGAGTGATCAGGGTCCTGGCATCAGCCTTCCCACCTGGGGACCAGGAGATGCTGCGGGACAGGAGTCTTCCTGCTGGGCTTCAGGCCCCACAGCTTCCCCATTCTCTGAAGGATCTTGGGCCGGGGAGTGCAAGAGCTGAGAGAGAGACAACCCTGGCTTACAGTCACCCTGGGGCTGCTGCCAGGACCAACCTCAGAATTTGCCCACAGACCTGGTGGTCTGTCCCCCGCTCCCCCACATAAACTGCACCTGGCCACAAGAGTCCAGCCCTGGGGGAGGGGCCCCTGCCCGCCTTCCACCATTTCCCACTGCCCCTGGGCCCTCCCTTTATCCAAACTGCCACACACACCCTTTACCTCATAGGGCGACAGCAGGGGCTTTTCAAAGGCCTCCCCCCAGTCGATGGAGAGGCGGGGACACGCCACCTGTACCCACCTGCGTAGAGAAGGAAAATGGCGGAGAGGGGTCCGCAGCTGTTTCATCTGCAGAACAGATTTGGCCCAGTTCCCGCCCCCTGCAGCCCGTCCCTCTCTGGCTTACGCAGCAGCAGAGGGCCAAGGGGAGCACTGTTGGCACCCACTGGCATCCAGGGCCTCTGCTGGAACAGGGTGGCATCATGGAAACCCCACTGATTTTAAGAAAATAAAGACCCCCCAAAAAGCCGGGTTTCCCCAGTCCCTTCCTGACCACCCCCCCAGTGCAGCCAGAAGGCAACAGATCAGGGGAGGGTCCAGCAGACCAGCATGCTGGGGAAGGGTCTTGCGGTACTCACGCCTCAACATCAGGGAACAGCTGCAGTTTGCTGGGGAAGATCTCCGAGAGGAGAAGCCGGACGTAGGGACGCCCCACAGCCTGCAGGCTCGACTCGAGGTGCTGCAAACAAAGGGGGGGATTCCTTTAGGGGGCCGAAAGGGGGCACTGCCATCACTGCCGCCTCCTTTTGCAGTGTGCTTCGCTTCAGCGGTGGCTGCTTGGTGAGCATTTTCTGAGCATAAGGAGGGATCCCCATGAACATTTTCCCTCAGTGAAATGGGGAGGACAGGAGGGGTTGGGGAGCTCCTCTCCCTCTCCACGTAGGAAGCGCTTTGGCGGGACCTGCCCAGCTCACCCACAGCAGTGCTCCCTGGCCGGAGGCAGTGTTCGACAAAGGGTCTCCCGGGAGCCCAAACTGCCTCCGCAACATCTCATTTCTTTGGGGACAGGAGGCTGGAATCGGGGTGCCTTCCCACCCAGTCTGGGCAGGGGAAAAAGGCAAAAAGGGCGCTTCTCCCCAACTCTGGATCCTTGTTAGCAGGTTGGCAAGTGTGAGTAACCAGCACAGGCAGCATTGGAGCAAAGGGCATCACTTCTGCCCGGGCACAGCCATCCCTCAGCCGCCAGCGCCGAGGTTGCAAGGAGTAGCCAGGAACACTCACCTGCAGGATGGCCAGCGACCCCTGCCGCCCCAAGGTGCCCAGGATGAGGCCCCACTTGCAGGCACGGGCCGCTCGCTGGATGGCTGCCTTCCGCGACTCCTGCATGCGCTCGTGGGCGTACTGCTCCTGTGAGAACACTTTGCTGTAGGGATCGTACCTGCAGAGGACGACAGGGAGGGGTCCTTGAGTGGGCAGTGGCCTGGCCCCACTGAGCCCACAGCCCCTGCTCGAGCAGACCGGTGTTCAACCGACTCAGCAAACAGGCTGGCTTCCCTGGACCCAGCCGCTGCGGCTCCGGATCAGGCGTAAGTCGCTGGAACAAGGGGAGCCAAGAGCAGGACCGCCCTGAGGCCATCAAGGCCAACCTCCGCCCAGGGCAGAAGTCCCAACTAAGGCGCTGGCCACTGCTGGCCAGCTAGCCCTGGCCTGAAGCCACCTGAGGCAGAGGAGTTCCATGGCCAAAGGGGCTACTGCCAGGACCTGCCTTCTGGCAACTCGAGTCTTTGTTTCAGGTGCTGCCCTCCCAACAGTCTCGGTGCCCTGGCTTCTGCTTCCTGGATCCTCCCCACTGCTCTTATCAGAACCTGTTCCTGCCCGAGCCTGTCTCCACAGGTAGCACCCGAACTGGACACAGGGCCACGCTGGGCCCGATCGGGCAGGGCAGGGCAGGCAGCGCAACGCCCACCCCTACGTGTGGCCTTCCCTGAAGCAAAGCAGAAGCGGCTGCAACTGCCTTCCTCCCAGAAGCTTTTCTGACTTCCCAGGGTCCCCCATCCAAGGACTAATGAGGACAGCCCCCACTTAGCTTCAGAGGCACAGCCAGCCACGTGCTGCCGAGAGCTGAGACAATGCAGAATATAGTGAAGGAACGTCTGCCGTGACTGACAATCATAGAGTTGGAAGGGGCCATTTTGGTCATCAGCAAGGAACCCAAATTACAGCATCTGTCAACCTTGGCTGGAAAGAAACTATTTTTGCACCAATGCAGTTTAAAACTATTTATTTATATTTCAAATTTAGTCACCGCCCATCTCACTCAGAGCGTGACTCTGGGCAGTTTTCCTTGCAGCCACATCACACTGGTAACCCATATTTCAAACAGCACATCAGCTCTCCCCCTCCATTTTGCAAACCTGATAAGCATTTCCTCAACTTCTTCATTCAAATCACTAAGGAAGATGCTGAAAAAGTCCAACTCATCAAAGCCCCTGGCTAGGAACGTCCCTCCGGCACAAAAGTGCCTCCCGTCACCTGCTCCCACCCAGCCCTTGAGCAACTGGGACCGCAGCACTCTTCTCCCTGGGTTTTAAGGGGGGCAGTTTTCCAGTTGTTCTTAGGGCAAGAGAAATACAGAACCTGGCGAGAAGAGGTCAGTGCACGATCCACTAGAGCAGCGTTTCTCAACCTCGGCAACTGGAAGATGGGTGGGCTTCAACAGCATGCTGGCTGGGGAATTCTGGGAGCTGAAGTCCACCCGTCTTCCAGTCGTTGAGGTGGAGAAACGCCCCACTAGGGCATCTCTGCCGATGACCATCCGGCCTGCCTGGAGTCCTGCAGTGAAG